TCCCCCCAATTCCCCAATAAAAATCTTAAAAAAAAAAAAAAAAGTCAAGGCAGGAAAAACAGACAATAATATTTAACCTGAAATCATTAGAGAATATATTTCACAGTTCATTTAGGCAAATGTGAATTTCAAGAAAATGGCTTGTAGTTTTATGCAAATACACCTTGACCCTCTACTAGATGTGAAACAAGTTCAAGAGTGAGATGCTGTTCTGGAATTGACACCCTATGTGTATATTTTATCAGAATATTAGGGTTAGCTCAAGCTGGCATCACCAATCTGTAGGTAAGTGTATTTCCATGAGGCACTGCATCTGAGCTGGCCATATCAGCAAATGTGTTGTTAGTTGTAGCTCCTTGTCACCACAGTTACCATGATGAAAGGGTCAATCTTGCTTACCCATGTCCTCTTCTGATTCTACAGTTTTAGTGATTTATAGATGCAATAATTCTACATTTGTGGGCAGCCAAGAAAAGACTTACAATCTGCCTCTGAAGTCTCAGAGACTGTGAAGAATGTTCTCAATAGTGTTCATTCTGCTAAACTAAGCTTCTTGAGGACAGGGTGAGTCTTATTCGTCCCTAAGTCCCCTGTGCTAAGCTTCATACATAGCAGATGCTGCACAAATATATGCTAAATAAATTATAAGATCTTCAAGGAAGGAAGAATTTTCCTAACCTTCCAAGTTTTTCCTTGTCTTTATCACTGAATAGCAGCTATCTCCTTGCATTGACTGTCATAGACAAGCAGGATAGGAAGCAATGTTTTGAAGTAGCAGATAAAGTTATTCACACAATGGTGCAAATGTGAATATATGTCTTGGAGGAGCTGCTACTCACCTACCTTCCCATGTGCCCAAGATGAGGGAGATAGGTGGTCATTATCTCTCTTTCCAAGTACCACCTATGAAACTCGGTGGTCCTTAAAAGAAGCAGTAGTATCTTGCAAATTGGCTATTTAGGCTACTTCCTTATAGAGGGATAAGAAGAAGCACAATTGGTGACTATTGACTATATGTCCCCCTTAGAGTGAAATCTTGCTAGAATACAGAAGGTAGTGAAGAGGGTTAAGAAAGTGTATCAGTCTTCACTAGCTTTCCAGAAATCTAATCTTCACACTGGTCTGACTGGACTGGAGAGATAGTGAGAGACAGAAAGAGAGAGAGAGAAAGAGAGGCAAATTTAAATAAACATGATCTAGCAGTAGCAAATAACAAATATAAACAACAGGATCCCAAGAATTTTCTAAATTTCATGAGTAAGTTAAAGGGCTACCTATCAGGACAGATGACCATCACAAGGAAGAAACAAATCTCTATTAGAAGAAACCAAATCCGTAAACTTGTTTCCTATTTCCAGTTGGAAAGAAAAATCATTCCACTTTGTACAGCTGATAAATCAGAAACAATTTCCTCCTGATGGGAAAAAAAACACCTTTCTTTTGCATATACTGTATATGTATATAATTTCTACATGTACCAAGGAATATATCACTACAATATACAGTTCACATGTAGTAAATCATTAACATAGGTTGAGCCAATAAAAGCCAAACGGATCCAAATTGAGACTATTAAGTAGTCTAATGCTGTGCACTAGTTCAATGATTGACTTAATTTTGTATATTTTCTTTGGTGGAATTAACTTTGTACAGTTTTCTTATATGTTCTTGTACAAATATTGCTTTAAGAAGGTCACTAAACCAAACAGGGAGAAGAAATCTGTACAATTTTGAATCACAATTTACATGTGTAAATAGTAATCATGTTTTCTGATAATGAAGATATGTTTCAATCTTAAGACTATTTGAGTTTCACCATGTAAGAATAACAGATGAACTGGATAATTTAGTGCCCCAAATCTCTTATTGGAGTCCAGAAGCCAAGCAATAGAATTCAAAGACAGAGCATGAATATTGTTGGTGTGCTAAAAAGTAAACAGTTATGATGATATTCTTGCCACCTCTTATCAAACATGAATCAACTTTCTAAGAGTGTCAAAATGTGTCAACTATCACTTAGGACTTAAAGGAGCTCTCAGGCTATAGTCTTCTTTAATATGAGAAAACATTAAAAGAAAAAAACAGATTTCAGAAAATATATTTTCATAGATTCAATCAGAAAAAGAAATTAAAATGCCAATAAAATGTCACACAAATATTTTTTACCAAACATTCCATAAATTTACCTCATTTGAGTTTTAGAAACAACATATGAAATAAACAAGGTAAATATCATTTATTTGTTACTTAAATGAGGAAACTGAGTTCTTGAAATGTTATGTGACTTATTCCATGATATGAAACTACACTGGTGGAGCTAGCACTGGAATGCAGCTTTTCTGACACTTAGTACATTTTTTGTTCTGAGAAGTATTCCACTATATGTATATACTACCGTTTGTTTATTCTTTTACCTGTTGACAAGCCTTTGGGTTATTTTCAGTTTTATTTTAAAAGATGCTGCAAGTATTGTATACAAATATGTGTATGGACATATGCTATCATTTCTTTTGGTTAAATAACTATGAGTGGAATGATTGTTTCATATGGTACTTCTACACTCAACTTTTTAAAGAGCTGCCAAACTGTCTTCTAAACTACTTGCATCAATTTACATTCTCACCAGCAGTGTATGTATAAATTCTATTTTCTCTACATTCTTGCTAACATTTTTTATGGTCAGTTTTTTTTTAATTTTAGTCATTCTACTAGGAATGCAGTTTTGTTTCTTGCTTTCACATATTTTTATTACAAATATAACTAACATATAATATTGGCTTCAAGTGTACAACATAGTGTTTCTACATTTATATACCTAAAGAAGTGATCACCATTATAAGTTCAGCAAACATCTGACACCATACCATGCTATCACAATATTATTGACTATATTCCCTATGCTGTACATTACATTCTCCTGACTTATTTGGGTTTTTCTGTGTGTTTTTTTCATGCGGGATTCGAACCGGAAA